GGAGATTTGGATTTCGCACATGACTTGTGTTTGATGTCTTGTAGCACAAACTCGAAGATCTACAGGCGAAAACCAACAAGTTAGTAGAAGAAGCAGAGCAGAGAAGACGGGACTTCAAGTGAATGTAGATGAAAAACAGAGGTGATGAAGATACCCAACCAACAATAATTACAATATCAACAACAGGCACCAATAACCGTCAACGGGAGAAATCTGAAGAAAGTAGTCTCTTTCACCTACCTGCCTAGGCAGCATCGTTTCAACTACAGGCGGCACAGGCACAGACGAGGATGTCAAAGCCAGGATCGGAAAAGCAAGACAGGCTTTCACTAATCTTAAATCTGTGTGGAGACCTTCTGCACTCAGCATAAAGAACAACATCCTGACTTTCAACACCAATTCAGTCAAGTTAGTGCTGCTATATGGTTCAGATACTTGAAGCGTTACGAAAGGCATTTCCAACAAACTACAGATATTCATCAACAACTGCCTACGCTCATTACTGAAGATCATATGGCCAGAATACTAAGAATAAGCAACAAGGAACTCTGGCTATTTGGCAACGAACCAACCAACAACCTATCACTCAACAAATATGCAGAAGGAAGTGTAGATGGATTGGGCGTACACTGAGAAGGCCGATTAAGGACATCATGCGCAGGCCAGGCAGTCGAGAGGAATACAAATGGGAAACGACTAGTTGGACATCGGAGGCGAGGGTGACATGGAGGAGATGATGTGAAGGAGAAACGAAAGCTTGTGGACAGTGATGGGGCGAGGCTCAAAAGATTGCAGAGAACAGAGTGTGATTGAGACGTGCTACTGAAGCCCTACGTTCCACTAGGAACCCAAAGGACAAATAATATTATAATAATCGTCTCCATTGGAATCCTGATTATTACTGTTATTATTATTCCCTTGGGTTCCTAGTGGGACGCAGGGCTTCAGTAGCACGTCTCAATCACACTCTGTTCTCTGCAATCTTTTGAGCCTCGCCCCATCACTGTCCACAAGCTTTCGTTTCTCCTTCACATCATCTCCTCCATGTCACCCTCGCCTCCGATGTCCAACTAGTCGTTTCCCATTTGTATTCCTCTCGACTGCCTGGCCTGCGCATGATGTCCTTAATCGGCCTTCTCAGTGTACGCCCAATCCATCTACACTTCCTTCTGCATATTTGTTGAGTGATAGGTTGTTGGTTGGTTCGTTGCCAAATAGCCAGAGTTCCTTGTTGCTTATTCTTAGTATTCTGGCCATATGATCTTCAGTAATGAGCGTAGGCAGTTGTTGATGAATATCTGTAGTTTGTTGGAAATGCCTTTCGTAACGCGCCAAGCCAATATAGACGATGACTAACCAGAATTATTCAGTGTGTGGGAAACATACTTCCGATTGGTTTATTTGAAATCAAGAAAATCGATTTATCATCGTCTTGTAGTTATAAAAGAATGCTGAAAAATAGTCGATTGCGGTTGCAATTACTTTCTGTGGCCATCAAAGCTGATGATATTTGCATGCATACTGTATCAGGAGTCATATACGAGGCCTTCGACTCGGTGACTAGCCAGTAAGACAATGGAGCAACTTAATAGCCACCAGTGGCCATTTTATCACTTCTGGATCCTAATCTCTCCACTGTATTACCATCTCTTAATATCTATCGTCTCAGTTTCAGCGCAGCATATTCGTTTTCAGTCGTTCACCAGTTGGCAGCAATGAATAGGGCTGTTCTCCACCTGGTAGACAGTGTGAACAATACATGATTACGCATACGAGTATTTTAAAAGACCGGTCGACCCTACCTAGTCTCAACTAAACAGAGAAACACTACACAGTGAAGTGAATTCAAAAGTCATTTAGGGAGTAAAAGTCGTAATTGTTACGTATTGTCTCCATCCCTATACTGCTGCTAATTGGATACTCGCGAAGCCTATCCGCGCACCAGCTAACTGCTGTTTACCTCTATTTTTGTATAGCTTTTACCTGATGTTTCGTCTACGACTTTAAAACAACCCATCATGGCTGTTTTCATACCGTTGCTATTGAATCTATTGGTTTTTAGATTAATATTTACCATGGATTGATACCAGTTGGAGAAACATTGGAAACACGGTAGCATCGGACAGCTGTTTCGTCCTTGTGTGAGACTTCGCAATGATGAACACTCATGACCCCAGCCAGGCACAGATAAAACCAATCACCTTCAGGTTTTGCGCCCAGCACGTTACCGTTGATTCACTTGGTCGGCATTCTGTAGGCCACATTTTCTACTTCTGTCATTTCATAATATGCCCCAACCCTCATCCAATGTCATCGTTGAATAGCTGCCCCCCCTACGCAATGTGGTTGAACTCACCCGTCACGACTTCCCATTAGAACTTCGGGGATTCCTTTTCGAAGCAAGTCACTCATGGGCAATTTATGAAAGCTGAAAATTGCGTGGGATGAGGTCAATAAATTCAGACCACACAAAACTTGAAAAATGTAAGGATAGTAAGGAGGAATGATACCTCCCTTGATTCAAGGATCACTAAGGAAGGTTTGAGGTAAGGACAAATTGTTTTTGAATACACAGAGGCGGGTTGAACTTTCGTATGGCTAAGGCTTCAAAGCACTTACATATACGGTCCTGACATAATGGTTTAAAGGCTATTTCGGAGTCAATCCTGGGTTCTATTTCTGTAGTGTGTTTACCTATAGACGATGACTCGTTTATTTATCAGATTATTTGAATGTAATTGTTTTTCTAGCCGTTACGGGATATGTTCCGCTATGATTATTAGTAGAATACAAACATGGTACAGAAACAGCACCAATAAATGTACCACATATGTATAAGGAGTGGGATACTGCTCGGGTGCCTAGATCGAAGCAGGTGGTTGTCTTAGAGGACGAATCCCAAAGCCTTTGAATTAAAGTGTAGTCCGCAAACAATGGAGCAACATTCCAATGGTTATTGGTAACCGGAATACGCATTCGTTTCATCTGGAATCTGGAGTCGATGAGCACCACTGGTCTCGAATTAGTGTTTCCAAACTTCCCTGGGTGGACCCTCAGTATCCACCAGTTCAGGACATGCGCTTGCACCCTTCCAAATCTGTTAAAATACCCCGGTCACGTGGATAAGACATCTCCGGAAGAAGCTATGAACGCGTACCAGAGAATTTGGGGGCTCCATCAACCTCGACTTCATAGTTCGATTATTCCTCCCAGTGTACGCGTTGCCACACGCATGTTGTGTTGTGATGAAGTTTATTTTGACGTATGGGCTTCGTTTTCCCTACGGCATCGTGTTTGGCTGCAGATTATGTTTTTTGATTTGATAGCTTGTGCACTTCCCTTTTTGATTGGACTGGATCGATTGTCATATGTGCTCCTATACGAATACCTCATTATTGCCAGTATTTTTCAGTCTCGACATTATTGATGGGTGTTGGTTAGCACTGGAATTCAGGACTGTCGTTTCTTGCCACTTAAGACTCGTCAGGCGGATGTACCTGCCTCCCAGTGCGTGAATGTTGTTCTCTAAATAACTGAATTTAGCCTTCTTCTTAATCTAATGCTGTTTGATTCCACGTTATTCAGTAGCGTGATGAGACTATACTTCATTGGCACAGAACACTGATCAGTTCTCAACGTTGAGATATTTTTCAGACCTTATCTTAATTTATTCGTCTTACCTAACCAACCTATTTTCAAATTCATATAAAAACACCTTGACAGGTAAATGTGTGAGCAGATCATTCGAAATGTATCGCGTACATTGTCCAGATAGCCTCTGTCTTCTTATTACAAATTCATCGAACCAATTTCAAATAATGTATACATGGAAATATACAATGCTCACTCGAAGAGTATAGGTGGCTTTATGAAACCTGTTGTAAATAAAACTGACTGATAGAGAAAGTCACATATTATTAGAAGATTCGATTTTTCATCTCTACCTCTGGAAGTGTGGTTATTGATCAGTGATACAACAGTCCAAACTGGGACCGACGGCTGCTGACAAACTCCAGTCAATGCCAGACACAGATATATCGATATACTGGTTGATGGACTAACTCAGTGACTGACTCTTATAGCTTACACGATGTTCCAATTAAAAACCTGGTAAATGAAACACACTTAGATTGCATTATAATAAAGGTTGGTAGTGGCCACTTAAAAATGCACTCGCAAACATAACCAACCTGGTTACTGAATGGTGAGCTAAAAACTATCTCTAGCTCGTTCAAAAGGGGGTGAGGAGTAGACACTGATGTAAAGCGGAAGCTTCAGTGATTCTCAGCTTCACTTGTGTATTCAAAAGAAACACTCTGTTTACTGTGGCCCTAATCAGGTATTCTACACCTCTGTTTACATTTTACTACATGAGAGATACCAAATCCTACCATTCATTGCATTTTATAGAAAAAAACTGGTGAGATCATATCTTGTGTGAAGTAATATCATTTTATTCTCTACATACACCTCTGAATTAGGCTTGATATTTGATCAGAAACTTGTCTGGAACATTTCATCATTTTAAGTATAGATTCAATAATGTAGAGCTGTGAAAATGAGTTGACATCAACTGAATTGTCTCTCAAACCATCATCCTTCTACACTCTGATCTACTACGCTGTGAACTATATGCATTCATATGTCGACACCAAGTGAAGTGAACTTGTATTACTCGTCGCTGAATACCTACACAACTGAACAAAAGAATAAATTCTGTTGGAGAAAAAAGTAATTCTTGAATAGACCTCAAGAGTTTGAAGGACAAGAATATGCACAAATCCATATGAAATGGGTGTACAAATCGAATCAAAGTCCACCCCAGTAACCTTGTGCACATATTCGTACAGTAGGCAATGAACAAACAACATGCCTATTGTATACGATGCCTAATGACACTACTTGGCTATCAAAACCTCAGTAGTTTGAGCGATGTTCGAATTTCTGCCCCTAAACCTATACAGCCACAACTTCACGTGCGTACACAATGATTTCAAAAGTAAAACAAACGTTCACCTGTATTTGTCATTGTTTATCAACAAAAAAAATATGTATAAAGGTGCAATAGCAGAGATAAACTGTGTATGTATAAAATAAAAACTCACAATACTCATAATCAAAGTTCGATTGACAAATTACTGAGGTTCAATCAAACAGACAAGACTGTCTCTTACAGTTCGTTGAGAAACAAAAAAGTAATCACACCAAGTAGCAAAGCATTAAACATTAACACCTGTTTCCCTTTTAAACTTTTCTTTAAAAAAAAAAAAGGATATGAATTTGGCTGATCCCTTATGAGGATTGTTATCTATCCCCCGGCCTTGTAGTAAAAGCGAAGGAGGTGGATATGATAGATGTGATACCAACCAACTAACTAACTGATTACACTGAATGCAGCAGTTAGGAAATTTTCATAACTAAGCTGTGCCATTCCATTTCGTTGATGATCGTGAATTTTGAATCCATCAGTTAAATTCTATAAAACAGAAGTAGAAAAATACAAGAAGATCACATAACTTACTGATGATAGGGAATTAGTTATATGTGGGTGTTTTGAACAAAATGGATGCACCTTTGTTGAATTGAAATCCACTTAAGAACGAATCATACCTATTGCATGTGAAGGTTAATAGTACCATCTGCCACCCGAAACCATGATAGCTGGAGCGCGGTTCGAACCCCCTGATCCATAGCCCAACCATACGCCGTTATCTCTTTTAGTTATTGAAAAAAACAGGAAGAAAGGAGTATCTTAGATCTTTTGAACACATTCCGAATAATCTACGACTGAGATGTAACACTTTTAACACTGGATATCAAGCAGATGTCTTGAATTCCTTCAAGGTACCATCAATTAACCTTTTTTGAATTTTCCCTCAGGAATGACCTTTATGACTAGTTTTGTTTGCTTTCACTAATGACCGATGAAAATTTAGCAGAGAATATGACTAAGAAAGCCAATTCATATCGACGATATCCTAATTATGTGTGATGATAAACAAACCGATTGAATGAAGTGCAGAACAGCATAACCTTGACATTTATAAAAGAGGATGATAGTTGCTTGCCTTTTTTGGACATTAAAGGGCGGCAGGATGGGTAGATAAAACAATCTACAGAGAACCTACATGGACAGGGCGATATGTGAACTATCATAGCTTTTGTGCAATTCAGTACCAGCGAACGTTAGTAAGGTGGTTACTGAATAGAACTCAATGACTATGCATAGATGATACTTTAGAAGACGAAAGAAGAACATTAACTGAAACATTGTAGGAAAATAACTATCCATCAAAATCTATTGACCAACACAAAGTAGCCAAAACCTACTCTTCCCTTTGTTCAGAAGAAAGATATCTTCATCAGAATGACTCTTATTGTTCAATCCTTACGCACAGACTTAACATGCAGTTCAGTCGGATCTCGTAGTTCAGTTAGTAGAGCATCAGGCCAGAAATCCGGTGGTCGCTGGTTCGAATCTGGCCGCGGTCCAAATTTTCACTTCACTTTCAATCATCACTCAGTATAAATACTAGTCTGCCAAAGTATGGCTACTGTCTGAAATAGTCAAATGATAAAACGACATTGGGAATATGGTCGTGGTTTATTGCTTACTGCATTGCAATTGCCGCCAATGGCTGCCATTGAACAACACATAGTTGAATAATAATATTCATAAATTGAGTTACTTCAAAACTAGACTGACTATTGTTGTTACTGTGTCATATTCCATTTGTATTAGAATGAAATAGTATAACAACATTGTGAAGATTTTTCTGCTTCAACATACAAAAGTTTCTGACAAGAAATAAATTATTCTCAAAAAAGAACCAAGAACAGTTTCAGTGGTGCTATGGTGTAGACGATAAACTTTACAAACACTGGATAGTAGGAGTTTCGATCTAGTTACAAGTGGATAATATCATTATCCCAAAGAAATTCAATCTACATACAATACAGCTAGTTGGCTTAACAGAATAGATGTCTGATAGTTTCAAAGCTATGTTGTACTAATGGAATGGAATTGACTTACTTCCTATAAGACATCTGGTTGACTTAGAGTAACGCAGGTGACATTAGCATGCTAGATGAGGAATGAAAAAATCCAGGGTCTTCTGCACGCGTTGAGTAGAAATCTGAGTATTTTTGGCATAAGTTTTGCTAGCACCTGTCAAATGTGAGATGACGCCTTAAGGCCGGTCTCCAATTACTCCCACTCTAAGGATGTGTCAACCAATTCACTCACATAAGGAGTTGCATCAGCCTAAACGGGTTGATGACTGACAAAACCTCAGTCCGCATACAGAAGACCAGTTTGATATATTTGCCAACTTGCTTCATCTTAGGTACCGACTACCGGGATATTCGACTACCGATTAAAGGACGAGTATATCACTTTGTTATACAATAATGAGGTCAGAAGAAGGGTACTATGGGAAGGATGGTAAGTCAGCCAATGAAATTGTGAATCCTCATCGACTGAGGTGGCTTGAAAATTTCCTGTGCATGTCCAGCTCTCACCTATCTTGAAGTGCCATGCCAGGGGAAGTTGCATTCAGCTTCAAGAGGGTTCAGAGTGGCAAAACTAAAATGTGACACCAGTGTATAAAGTCTCAACTCTGGGTCTGAGTCGTGTAGGAAGGTGCGATCCCCGAGACGACAGAAATCAGTTGTTGAGCGCTCAAGATGACATAGCTAAAAACTAGTCGTAGTGGATGGTGCTGATGTTTTCACTTTTTTGATGTCTTCTAATGTTTTAATGTCTTTAACAAACTGTTTTGGAATTCCCTTTCTTCCCATACACCTTTGTCTACTTTGATATCAGCTTTTTCTATCCACTTGTTCCTACGTTGATTTTTTCTGTGTTTTCACCCTGGGGTTCGAACAAACCAGTAACCAGCCATTTCACAATATTTGTCTGTACTAACTTACAAGAGGTTACCTTTGCTAAATCCTAAAGCAATATTTGGAGAGAACGGAGTGTCCCTGAAAAAATGTCACCTATATCAACTGTAACTAAACTCATCTCACCTTTTACACACACACATACACACACATACCTACTTACATAATACATGCACACGTACACGTTAACATCATCACCTTCAACTTCAGTGGATAACTTGAGACTACTCGGTACTATGCAACCACGACCTCGCCAAGGATGGAATTCGTGTTACAGTGCAACTGTAGCAAGTAAAGTGGACGGCAACTCAAGACCTTAGATGATGATATTCACTCAATATCACGAACTGACAGAAGCAAGCAACTGCGAACCACTGGACTCCAAACCAGAGGCTGAATGGTAAACGCATTCTCCATGAGACCCGAATACAATTGGTGGCAGAGTCGAGAGTGAGTACTGCTCAGAAGTCGCACACAAGGATGAAAAAAGGCTTCCAGATTTTCAATGGTTCTCCAATTGATGTTAGTCCTTACAAATAAAATCTAGTAAGCTTCAAACTGCATCACTGAATAATAATTAGCGACAAGATTTGTTCCCTTTTGCTTCTTCAAGTGTGCATAGGCATACGAATAAAGTAATTTGATTGGTTCCCTCTATCGACTATGTAGCAAACATATGGTAGTCAATCAGTATAGGCTTTTAATTGTCATTTTTTAGGACTTTACCAGTTATTATGATTACTATTACTTGTCCTATGGGTTCCTAGTGGAACATAGGGCTTCAGCAACACGTCTCCACTTTACTCTCTTCTCTGCAGTCTGTTTAAGCTGGCTCCACCACTGCCCAAAAGCTCTTATTTCTCCCTCACACCATCTCCTCTATGTCACCCTCGCACACCCAACTCATCCTTTCTGATTCAGGTTCCACTTCAGGATTTGGCCTGGGATGCGAGGTCCCCAATCGGTCTTCTCAGTATATGTTCAATACATCTCCACTTTCCTCCTCTCGATATTTGTTGGGCGATGGGTTCCTGGTTAGTTTCCAGGCCAGAATTTCTTGTTGCTGATTCTTATTGTTCTGGCCATATGATCTTCAGTATCGAGTGTAGGCAGTTGTTGATGAATGTCTGTAGTTTGTTGGAAATCCCTTTCGTGACATCTTAAGTTTCTGAAACACAAAGAAGCACTAACCTGACTGAATTAGTATCGAAAATCCGGATATTGTTCAAGCTTTATGCTGAGTGCAGTGCAGAAGATCAACACACTGATTTCAGGTTAATGAAGACCTGTCTTACTGTCTTTCCGATCCTAGCTCTGATGTCCTCATCTGTGCCGCCGCCTGTAGTTGAAATGATGCTGCCTAGGAAGGTAGGTGAAAGAGACTACTTCAGATTTCTCCCGTTGATAGTGATTGGTGCTTGTTGTTGTTTTTATTTGGGTATCTTCCTCACCTCTGTCTTCTCTATGTTCAGCTGACGGAAGTCCCGTCTTCGTTGCCCCGTTTCGCCTGCCAACTTGTTAATTTTCGCCTGTAGATCTTCTATTTTGTCGGACATAAGATATTAGACATAAGTCATGATCGGCGAAATCCAAATCCTTTAGGGTCTTTTCAACGGTCCAGCCAGCGTATGCCCATCTTCTCATAGCTACTCACAGTCTCTCGCATGACCCAGTCCAGTCGACCACAATCAAGAAGATGATCAGTGAAAGTAGGTAGCAACCTTGTCTTACTCCTGTCTTTACTTCTAAAGTGTCACTGAGCTTTTCATTGTCAACCACTTCGCATGTGGCGTCTTCATAATGCTGCTGAATGAGGTTGATAAAGGTTTTTGGCACTAAAAGCGCAGTGTTGAAGCAGCCACCTGGTAAATTACTTTTCGGTCGACGCTGTCGAAGGTCTCTTCAAAGTCGATGAAGTGCATGCCCAGTCCATCTCTACTTCCTTCTACATATTTGTTGGATGATAGGTTGTTGGTTGGTTCGTTACCAGATAGCCAGAGTTCCTCGTTGCTTATTCTTAGTATTCTGGCCATCTGAGCTTCAGTATCGAGTGTAGGCAGTTGTTGATGAATGTCTGAAGTTTGTTGAAAATGTCTTGCGTAACGCGTCAAGTATCTGAACCATACAGAAGGACTGACTTGACTGGATTGATGTTGAAAATCCGGATCTTGTTCCACATGCTGAGTGCAGAAGATCCCCACACTGGTCTCAGGCTAAAGAACGCCTGTCTTGCTTTTCCGATCCTGGCCTTGATGTCTTCGTTTGTGCCGCCGGTAGTTGAAACAGTGCTGCCTAGATAAATGAAAGAGGCGACTTCCTTCAAGTTTCTTCCGTTCATGGTGATTGGAGCTTGTTGTTGGTGGTGTTGGTTGGGTATCTTCATCACCTCTGTCCTCTATACGTTCACTTGAAGTCCCGTCTTCGCTGCCCTGCCTCTTCTGTCAACTTGTTAGTTTTTACCTGTAGAACTTCGAGTTTGTCTGACACTAGACACAAGTCATCGACGAAATACAAATCTAGAATCTTTTCCTCGGTCCAGCGTATCCTCCTCTTCTCGCTCCTCACTATTTGTTCAGGATCCAGTCGACCACAATCAGGACTATCATGAGTGTTAGTATACAGCCTTGTTTTACTCCTGTCTTCACTTCAAAGGCACCACTGAGCTTCCCATTGTGAATTACTTGGCATGTGGCGTCTTCATATAGTTGTTGAATGAGTTCGATAAATTTTCGTAGCACTAAAACCGTAGTGTTGAAACAGCTACCTGCTAAATCACTTCTCGGTCGACGCTATCGAACGAAGGCCTTTTCAATGTCGATGAAGTTGAGGTATAGTCGGGTTGACTGCCATTGTATGCTCTGTTCTATGATGATGCGTAGCGTAGTGTTGCGATTTGATCAGCATATGATATGTTCTTCCTGAAGCCAGCATGTTCCGGTAGTAATTTTGAATCCAGAGCATATTATAGTCTCTCCGGGATGATGCAGCTTAATATCATGCTTGGGGGTGGACACCAGCATGATTCCGCGTCAGTTCCTGCAAAGACTTAGGTTTTCCTTCTTCCAATCGGCAGGTACCTTTTCTTCCTTCAAAACCTTCTGCAATAGTGGTGTGAGCATGTCCCTGTTGTCTCTGCGTCTATTTTCAGTGCTTCGCGAGGGATTGTGTCTGGTCCTACTGCTTTCCCAGCTTTCGGCAACTTGATGGCGTTCAGAACTTCCTTTCAGCCTTTGTCGGAGGGCTTGTGTCCACTGACAGTTCTCTGACTACTCGTGGCATTTCTAGAGGAGTTGCAGTTAACTGAGGCTTTTTTCAAACATTTTCTATTGCTTAACCATTTATCTATCCAATGCTCAACTAATCTAATTAATAACAGGTCAACATTTTATTTTAATTCTGAGTAAACTTTATTGAAGATGAAACTGACTTACTAAAAACCATCAAGGACTATTACCACCTAGCACTGGACAGTTGCTGCTTGTCAAATCCAAAAGTTCTCAGCAATACTCTCATCGCCTTTAATCAGTTTGCTACTTAGGTATGTGAACATTTTTCATCTGATTTGATGGGTTTTTAAAGATCAATCAAACTGCAAATGGTTTATAAACTGTACGGTCCACTATGACATTTCACATAGCTGAATAGTTAACCTACTTGAACTTTGGGCTACCAATAACATTTTTTATGAGACATCTATTAAATTCTTTCCTTCTTAGTTAGTTTTAATCTCTCAAATTTGTCCTCTGAATGTATCATGAACTGTTGGGGATTTTTAAAATATGTGTACTAATGGTGGATAGTGGCTATCAGTGGGATTCAGGATGCGCAATTCGTCCTATTTTTGGGACTCATCAGCTAGATGTACCTGCACCCCAGTGAATGATGTTGTTCACATCAGGATTCGAACTCCGGACCGATCACTTCAAACGCCAGAGCATTATCCACTAGACCACAGAGCTACGGTAGGCACTTCTTATGCGATGGGTATAGTTTTCAGTATTACTGTTTGTGTTATACCATCGCTGATTGGACCCAGTTGATCAGTCTCTATTGGTAAATCGGATGCCTCAATATTACCTTTATTTTAATAATATATATTAATGATGATACGTGACTAACAGTTGAATCCAGGATGCGCATTTTGTTCTATTTGGGACTCGTAAGCTGGACACACCTGTACCCCACAAAAAATGTCATATTAGACGGAAATGGATCTTTGAATACGCAAGAATACATCATATTTCTATCCTTCGGTTACCTATCTTGAATAGTACATTCTTCTACTGGTTGAATGAAGCACCACCACAGTACGCTAATCCAGCACCAACTGGCTGCCATTATGAACATCATTCAGACGCCAGAATCATTTTGCTGGAAAATATTCTTTTATGAGTAAGTTTGTCAGTTTATTACGTACTGAGAATTCCATACTGTGTAAAATATATTGTTTGGAATAAAGCGAGTTTTATTATCCCATCTGGAGGTTTATTCATTGGTTTTTTAGGTTGGGATTCATCATAAACTGACATCGGTTGGAAGAACGCTGGGAACATAGCAGCATCGGACAGCTGTTTCGTCTTAGTGTGAGACGTCTCAATGGCAGGAACCCATGACCCCAGCCAGCCACGGACCGAACCCACAAACTTCAGGTTCCGCGCCCAACAAGCTACCATTGAGTCACTGGGTCGATAATCAGTAGGCCACACTTCCTAATTCTATCCTTCTATGATATAGCGCGACCTCCATCCAATGTCATCGTTGAATAGCTGTCCCCCTATGCGACGTAGTTGACTTCACCGGTCACGACTTCTCACCAGAATTTCGGGGATTCCATCTCGAAGCAAGTCACCAGTGAGCCCTCAATGGTAATATACTGGCCACGGAACCTGAAGGTCACGGGTTCGAGTCCTGGAGGGGCGGGGTCAGGGGTGCGTGCTGCTGAGGAGTCCCGTGCCGAGACGAAACAGATATCGAGTGCTCCTAGGTTTCCAATGTTCCTCCAACTGATGTCAGTTCATGACGAACTACAACTTAAAACATCGATTATAATTACTTTACGCATCCTCTAATTGTGTTGTCAGCAGAGTTTTGTTGAAAACCATCCAGCCAAGACTACAAGGTGTGACTTGTGATACTAAAGTGTCCTGAGCTAGTGAAAGATACTGCTACTGAACAAACTGAGTAGTCAGATACCACTCTAGTTGATCTATTAACTTCGCCAGCCAGGTCGGAGTGATCTAACCACTGGACGGTCGTCTCGTTCGCTTGGAATTGAGCTCATCAGTGTACTCGGACAAAGTCGGCTCATAGAGCTGAGTTAATCGACGTTACCTGAATTTGGACCATGAAACGTGCAAATCATTTGTAAAATGATAATCTTATTTTAGGTATGCTGGTTCATCCAAGTCAGCTAGCTAGACTTAAGTAATCTAAACCAATTCGGTTCTATAAGCTGAATTTATCCGAGTACACTGCTGATGACCTGGCTTGGATCCGAACGAAGATGACCATCCGGTGTGTAGATCACTCTGATCCGGCTGCTTGGAGAAATCTACAGATCCACTTGAAGAGTTTCGAACTACTCAAGTTATTCAGCAGTAGCATATTTGAAAAGACCTTTGACAGCGTCGACAGAGAGGTAATTTGGCAGCTGCTTCAACACTATGGAATACCACAAATCTTTATCGAACTCATTCAACAACTATATGAAGACGCCACATGCCAAGTAATTCACAATGGGAAGCTCAGTGGTGCCTTTGAAGTGAAGACAGGAGTAAAACAAGGCTGTATACTAACACTCATGATAGTCCTGATTGTGGTCGACTGGATCCTGAACAAATAGTGAGGAGCGAGAAGAGGAGGATACGCTGGACCGAGGAAAAGATTCTAGATTTGTATTTCGTCGATGACTTGTGTCTAGTGTCAGACAAACTCGAAGTTCTACAGGTAAAAACTAACAAGTTGACAGAAGAGGCAGGGCAGCGAAGACGGGACTTCAAGTGAACGTATAGAGGACAGAGGTGATGAAGATACCCAACCAACACCACCAACAACAAGCTCCAATCACCATGAACGGAAGAAACTTGAAGGAAGTCGCCTCTTTCATTTATCTAGGCAGCACTGTTTCAACTACCGGCGGCACAAACGAAGACATCAAGGCCAGGATCGGAAAAGCAAGACAGGCGTTCTTTAGCCTGAGACCAGTGTGGGGATCTTCTGCACTCAGCATGTGGAACAAGATCCGGATTTTCAACATCAATCCAGTCAAGTCAGTCCTTCTGTATGGTTCAGATACTTGACGCGTTACGCAAGACATTTTCAACAAACTTCAGACATTCATCAACAACTGCCTACACTCGATACTGAAGCTCAGATGGCCAGAATACTAAGAATAAGCAACGAGGAACTCTGGCTATCTGGTAACGAACCAACCAACAACCTATCATCCAACAAATATGTAGAAGGAAGTAGAGATGGACTGGGCATGCACTGAGAAGGCCGACTGGGGATATCATGAGCCAGGCCACGCCTTCGAGTGGGACCCAGATGAGAAGCGACGAGTTGGGGATTCAAGGAGAGGGTGACATGGAGGATATCGTGCGAGGGGGAAATGAGAGCTTGTAGGCTGTCGTGGAGCGAGGTTTAAAATATTTCAGAGAACAGAGGGCACTGGAGACCTGCTACTGAAGCGTTATATCCCATTAGGAACCCACGGGATAAATAATGATGATAATAAAGTAAATTTGGAAAGACTGACTATGGAAGTCGAACTCCTGTGGGGACATTTGGATCGCATACTTCCTTGACATTTTCTTTAGACCACTTTGAAACAAAGCTAGTATTACATTGAACAATTTATGACCCATTCAAAATAAACAAAATGTTTTAAGTGAAACCAATATACACTGGATGAACCTCACCTACCTACCTACCTACCTTTAAACAAACACATGCTAGAATAAAATCATCAAATGTGATAGATCCACGTCGATGTCGATCAAATTTTCGAACTAGAAGACCAATAAATTGTGGAGATAAACGATAACCGAATGATGTTAAAGCAGTTTGAAATTCATTGACATCAATAGTACCTGAACGATCTCTATCATAGTTTTGAAAACAATTTTGCCATTGTTGTACATAGGCAAATAATTGACTAAATTCTTGTAAATTCATTGTACCATTCATATCTCTGTCAAACATACATATCATAAGATCAATTGTTCGCATATTGAATGCAGTGCCTAAACCTATTCAATAAGGAATTTTGAGAGAAAAAAAAGACAACTTTATAACCATATGTTAAATATTGTAAATTATTCCATCCAATTTAAAACCTAAGGAAAAACACGTACATACATAAAGGCAAATTTATACATGGAATAGTAAAATGTTGAGTGTAAATCCGTGAAAAGAAGGTTTTACCAAAAGATAAGAATTATTTAAGTATGTCCAATGTCAGTATTTTGTTTTAATAAACTATTTTTGTATATTGATGACACATTAACTTTTCAAAATGTTATGAATGCATAGCTCATCTACAAGAAAGAAGGGATATTAATCCCTCGTAAAAGGATTACTCAGCGAAATATATACTTGAGGACCAGCCATCCATTATTATTAACCAATGATAGACAGCGACGTCCGGATAAAGAGAAATCAAAAAAAAAGATATTCAGCAAACAATAGGACCCTTTTCAACGAATTTATTCTCAGGCTATACACTCGCAGATATATATATATATATATATATATATATATATATATATATATATATATGAAATTTGAAGACTGTAATTCCTCAGGAAGATTTACCTTAAATAATGGGGTATTGAAACAATAATGATAGTCGTTATAAAGATGATAACGTTGCTACTTGTTCCACAGTGTATCACTGACTGAAACTGTTTGTCACATATGTGATTTCATCGATTCACACAATATAGAAGTAGGAATTCCAACAAACTACTTGACACAGCTATTGATCAGATGCATTTTCAATGTCCAATTTAATTCCGATGGTGAGATATGCCAGCAAAATGATGGGGTTGCAATGGGATCCCCACTGGGACCTTTAATGACAGATTGTTTCATGTCAAAACTAGAAAATCCTATTCTTAGCCGAACTATTAAGCATCTTGACATCTATAAACGATATATGGATCATATATTCGTTATTTGTAACTCAACTATCGACCTGCATGATATCCTACGCGAGTTTAACAATTGTCACTCAGCATTCGAATTCACTATTGAGAAGGAATTGGAATCAGCTATTCCTTTCCTTCACGTACTGATTACGACACGTAGCAATGGAACGCTGAAAACATCCATCTACAGCAAACCCATATGGAATGGACAGATCACTAGTTTATATAGATGGGTACCGATCATGAGTAACAGAAACCTCATTTGCTCACTGTGCCCATCAAATATATAATATTTGTAGCACAGAATGTGTCCAACTTGAACTTCACTTTCGAAGAGGGACGCTCGCGGAAACCGATATCCTAGACGACTTATCGATAACAATATGAGAGAAACGCATGAGAAACCAGTCACCAGCTCAGTTTCAAAAAAGACTTCGTTCATGAACCTGGACTGCAAACGTCATGCAGCATCACATATCCTGAAAAATCGTCTCTCCAGATCAATTAGTAGCAACTTTTTTCTCAACAAAACTTCACTTGATCTTTACCAGTTGTAAATTCTTCTCCGTTTGTGTAAAACACAATATCCCTCAACAGGCCACATACATGTATACCTAACAGTTCACCTGCTCCTGCTAGAGCAAGGAAAAACCAGCGGTAGTCACAGATTCCTGTCAGCACACATACGAGAACATATTCCGACCTGGTTTGATAAGGAGGAAAAGGAATCAATCAGAAGTTCTACCCTTCAACATTTAGTCGATCCCTACCACTCAACCGACCCAAATAAGGATTTCAACGTTGTCTAACAAATTCGCCCTAACACCTCACGTTTCCTCCATGTTCAGCTTCGAAAAACAGCACACGCCTTGCTTATCCATGAACTGAAGCCTGACCTTGGTGTGCAAAAGAAGTATTTAATGTCTTTGTCTGTGACCTAGCCTTAATTTATTTTAGTCTTCGTGTGCTTCGTCTTCTCTCTTCGTTTCTCACCCCTTCCCCTTTTTGTCAGATTAATCTTTGTACTCTTAGATCATCATTATCACTTTGTTTTTTATATTCAATTGTTTCTGATGTTATTTGGTCATTTGATTTTCCTAATAATCGCAACTTTTAACAAAACATTTTCAATTTACTCCAATTAACTTGTCTCATTTATATTACCTAATCGTTCGATTGTTTATTAACGTTCTCATCCGTTCTATCTATATGCACTTTATAAGTGATCCGGAGGTCTTACGTAACCCCATTTTGTTATTATTCGGCCTTTACGTCATCAACCAGAGACATTGTTATCCTTATAACCGTCATGATTATTGTTTCAATCCCCTATTTTATATATATATAGGAATGTACAGCTTGAGAGTAAATTCGTTGAAAATAGTCCACTTCGCTGAATATCATTTTGTTGATGTCACAATGGGAATTATGAACGTATAAAGAGAAATGACTAGTCTGGAGATAGCAGAATGAAAACGTAATCTACATTTTGAAGCAACTAGTCCCTTTGATAAATTTAAACAGCGTAATGAGAAGACGAATATCATCTGAAATATGTCAGGCTAAAAGTTATCCCCAAGTGTTATCCTCCTCGCGATAAGTTGTACGGTTGTTTGTAAAAATATAACCATTTTCCATGTTCTCTATGAATATTTTACTAAACTGCGTAGTTTTTACAATGCCGTGCGACATTGAAACATGTTTTAAACTGTTTATACATGTGCAAAGTGTTGGCTACATTTGCATTTCTTAAGCGGAAAGTAAGTACAGTTATTCAGGATGAATGATACTCACAGATTACAGTGAGTAAGTTGAGGCTTCAAATTACATTTAAAAGGATTTATGATTGCAGTTTTGACTTCACAATGCATGCATACATAATATATGAAATATATATTTTCAGACAGAATGCTATAACATCAGGGGATAACTTTTAGTTGCGCCCATCATACAACTTATCACGAGGACGACGATAACAATTAGGGGATAACTTTTAGCTTCACCACAAGAGCTTCAATAAATTTAAACACTCGGTTCTGACTACTTTTCATGTCTACTCTTTTGGTTATTTTCTAGTATATGTTTAGCGATAGACAAAGATGGATGTTTGGTCACCTGTTGAGGTCATTTGTTTTTGTAGCCACTTAGGTACATGTTCTATGTATCCTATTAACTTCATTGACCCTTTTCATATAAATAGTTCAACAAGTTCATATGCGATCAGATTGTTCAAAATGTATAGCAGTAATACATTACAACATGTTTCAGATAATCTTCGTAATCCACATTATCATTTTTACTAAGCTTATTCTAAACAGCAAACTATGTCTAATGTCAACCTTTAACTCAGTACCCAATATTTGCTATACTACACAATCAAATCTTGATCATAGTTTATATAAAATACCTATATATTAATATTAGGTGTATTTTCCTTTGTTCTAGTCATCGGTCTTTCGACCTCAACCTCAAATACACGTTTCTACATGTCCATTAATTGTTCGGGTCGGGAATCAACAAAGAATTTGTTGAACATTGGTGGCTGACACTCGATATCTGTGCATCATTAATGGCCAAAGCACATAGAAGTTTTCCACATCATAACAGATAGTTGTTTTTTAACTGAAACTAATACATACAGATCACTTCTTAAGAGTAAGTGGTGATAAACTAAATAAGACGTCTAGATAAGGTGTCATGATCCTTCACTGTGGTTCATTGGTTTAACAAGTCAATAGGTCACAGGTTCGAACACCGCACCATCTATCGAGATGCTTAAGGCAGACAGGTAGTATCACTGACCTTCACACAATAGGTGTGTCTCACTGTCCACTGCATGAATGTTCATAAGGTTTCTGAAAAGCAAAAATTTGACAATTTAACTATGAAATCATGTTCTTTATTAAATGACGGACCGCATATTAGTATGAGCCACATTATTACTACTACATGTCAGAATTTTGGCAGATCCAGTGGGTTTCGAACCTATGACACATTGGCTGAAAGTACATTTCTCATTGTAAATATTGAGACGTGTTGTGATTATTTTGCTTGTGTTGGGACACGTATACTTAGACTCTTTATCTTTTTAGGAATTTTAAACACTTTATTACGATGTGTCCATGTGCCAGTTTTCTATACACAAACATGCTTATAATAATAATAACAATCAGCTGATCTCCTCTCTGTGCAGATGGAAAACTCGATCGTGAAGTGCTAGTCGTCAGCAAACCTCTGGATAACAAGATATGATTTCTGACATAAGTGTCATGAACCAACGAAATATACTGCTACTGAAAAACTTGATTAGTTCGAAACCACACAGGCTGATCCCTAGAATCTAGGTAATTTGAACAAGCTAGCTCTGTGAGCTGAATTTACTCGGGTACATCGCTCTGGGCCCAGGCCTAAACGAGTGAAATGACTGTGCATTGCTTGGATCACTCTGATCTGCCTGGTGAAGTCTACAGATCAGCCTGAGTGATTTCTAACTGCTCGAGTTGGTAAGTAGTATATCTTGTTACCCTGACATTTTTGGCTTTTTAATTTCCTTCAGCTTTCTCTGATGATTATCATGGAGCTTCTTGCATCTCCCAGCTCTGAAGCCTTTGCTGACGATTCAGAATTACGGAAAAAGTTCACCTCGTTCCCCGGAACCACACTGTAGACTAAGTAATGAAGATTTACTTGGTTGTGGCTAGCAGAGGAATCCAGGATGCGTGTTTCTCCCTATGTGAGACTCGTCAGCTGGGTGCACCTGCACCCCACTGAGTGATGTCCTCACTGAGACTCGGACCTCGTACCCATTGCTTTAGACACTAAAGCGTTATCTACTAGGCCACGCAGAATTACAAGTATATCCATAATACCAGTTGTACAAGAGGTGGCTATCGGCCCTCCGTGGATTAGTGGATAACGCTTAGGCGTTTGAAGCAATGGGTACGAGGTCCGGGCCATAGTGAGGACAACATCACTCACTGGGGTGCAGGCACACCCAGCTGATGAGTCCCAAATAGGAAGAAACGCGCGTCCGGGACTCCTCTGCTAGCCGCAACCAAGTAAATTACCATAATTAACATTCAGGCAATATCGAGGCATCT